AAAAAAAACCCCTTCTGTTGCACATTCAAAATCCTTCTCATCCCTAACCCTAACTTCCTTCAGAGGACTCTAAATCAATCACAGAAAGGGAGAAAAGAGAGAGACACTTCGATTAACTCAAAATCAGAATTTCGTCTATATTACCTGATTTCGGTTTCGAAAGACTTGATGTAGGGATCCCCAGTTGATGCTGCAGTTCACGCACAGGAAACGCACAGTAAAGCTTCTCGCAGAAGTTTTGCAAGAAAAGAAATGCAAGTAAACCTCTTTCTGCAGAAAAAATGCCTATTTATACTTCTGGGCAAAATTAGATCTCAACGGCTGAGATTCGTTTAATCTTACGGTTCTTGTTGACACCGTTTGGAATTCGACGGACAACCCCAAACGGTACCGTTTTGAACTTGACGGTTCATTTTTAAATTTGCCCATTTAACTGTTGCAGTTATCTTTTTACGGCCGCATTTATTGCGCACGTCATTCAAAGGACAGCTGTCACACCACGCACTGCCCCTTTGTCAGATTTCTCAGACGGGACCACTTACGCCCATTTCAACATCTTCGTTTACTTTTACACATTCTCAATTTTGCAAGTGTTTCACTTCGGCTCCAGCCACAGTGACTTAGTGTCACATGTTTCACTTCGGCTCCGGCCACAGAGATTTGCTTTACTTCGGTTTTGGTTACTGTGACTGCATGTCACATACTTTACCTCGGCTCCGGCCATCATGACTCCGGTCATTATCTTTTATGGTTCCGGCCATCATGACTCCGGTCATTATGCTTTACTATGGCTCCGGCCACTATGACTCCGGTCATCATATTTTATTACGGCTCCGGCCATTATGACTCCGGTCATCATATTTTATTACGGCTCCGGCCATTATGACTCCGGTCATCATTTTCCATCATGGCTCCGGCCTCTATGACTCCGGTCATCATCTTTTATCACGGCTTTGGTTACATTATGACCTCGGTGATCAGCTTTTACCACGGCCACGGCCATGATCGCTCCAGTCATATTCTATTTAAGACACCCCCAGTGTGACCCACTGTTACATATTTCATTGTTAGCTACGGCTATGTTTACATTTAAGTTACGGATTTTATTCCTTCCTTTAACTCCCATGACTTATCTGTATTCTCTTTGTTCATACACTCCCCTCATTATACCCAACAACATCATTCACAAGTGAATGACTTCGGGGGG